TTATTCATGTTCTGAATGTCTCAAGGAGCCATCAGACCACCACAAATGGCGCTCTATAGAGCTGATGCCGATACGGAGCTGCGAAGGACTTAACGGGTTGCCGTAGCTTCAGCTCGAAGTGCAGGATTAGGAACGGGGTAGTTTTTAGTCAGTAAGAGTCTGACACTCCCTCCCGCCTCACCCGGGCGATATGGATGGATGATTATCCCCCCTCAAAGAAAAAAACAGTTATGTTCATGTTACATCTGCTTGATCTACTTTTCTGCTATCGTATTAGCATACCTACTTACAAAGTGATGCGTATACTCTCAGAAACGCTCAATATTTTTCAATAGACTTCCTTTCGAAATACGGCAATGGAACGCTGAAAAAAGAAAAATCCATCTAAATCCCCATACATGGCCACTTCACAGTACTGAAGACGCGCGAGCCATACGAAGGCCGCGTAATGACTGTCATTACCCATCATCCAGCATAAACTGAACTCTCATCATGCACCACCACCTACAAATTCCATCACCGCAGAGGACCATAACGGGTCTACAGTAATTGGCGGTTTAAACGTAGTGACGTAACGACGTGTCGCAGGCCATTTTTCTCATAAATACGTGTCGGTTATTATGTGCGACTGTGTCTGTTCATGACACACTGTTAAAGTGGGATGTAGGGCTATGTTGTTTCTATTTGTTTCGTTAATTAGTCGGGGAAACCCTTTTCAAAATAATTGTAAACTGTCATTGCTTTTTCTAGCTGAGTATTTTGTAATTTATTTCGGATTTGTCGATGAATCATGTGATATTGACAGATGTGGATCATGAATTTAAATACCTTGTAATAATTGGCTTGAAAATCTGGTCACATTTTGTCTTACTATTTTAAAATGGTATGCTTCTATTTTACAAATCTACAATGAAAATCCACATTATAAGGTTAGATATTTAATATCTAACGATTTTCCCCAGGGCACAACATAATTCGGCTTATGTTTTACGAATTGTTAATTGGATGTCTAGTCTCACTCGGATCGATGGAATGACATCAAATAGATACATTTTGTACAAATATTTGGTTAGTTTATACAATTCATTTGTCACTCACTTTCCCTGCACAGTTAGGGGAACCGCAGGTAGGCCGGGAAAGCGACTTGGAATTTGGTTACAATACAAACAGCCTACGCTTACTCGTAACTATATCGATTTGCTTAACGACTACTACATTTGCCCGACCTTTATGATAATAAAAAGGGAAAGGTATGAAGTCTATGGTTCTGTATAACCTCATCAGAAAGCAAACAGTTTAAATAATAGTATGGTGTCGGATATATTCACTATGACAATGGCGCTAGCTACCATTAAACTACAGACTGTTAGCGGAAAAATATGTTTTAGTAAACAATCGTTGCTCAACAAACTAGATTACTCGTCCCGCAAATGAGCCACTTTGTCTTTTTAACACCTTCCCGCCAACGCTAATAGGATTAAAACCTCATTAGGGTTTCGCGACGTAAAGGCCCCTTGTGGCAGCGGATTGTGGTTAGAAAAAACCTCGCATTATTTATTTGAATTCACTAGACCATCACTGGTTCACATTACTGTCATTATTTTGGGTCCTTATCTCTTTAAGGGCGGAGATCCCAACCACTTTAGGAGACCCGATCTCCACTTAAAGCCCGTATCATTATTTCGGTTATCGATCTCCGGATATTTCGTTATTCACGCGTTGTATCTTCATTAGGATTCAGGATGAATATGTATTATTGTATAACTGTATTGTTCTTCGCGTAAGACGCTTCGTATTGATTGCTATGTGGCCTGGATGACTCAACTGTGGGTATCACATTGCTTACAATTACATAAATACTTCTAACCGTAACCATTTTTAAGTTGCGGTAAGGAATTACGTTATTTTCTGTATATTTATGGTGTGAGCCTCACAATTACTTATTATGGTAAGACCCACTTATTGTTATCATTCAAATGTGACATATATGTTTGAAACAATGAATGTATTGAGTAATGAATCGTTTCAAATACATTTTACTTTTATAAACATGACATTTATAAATGTTATTTGGAATAAATTTTACATAGCGTAAAGTAGGACGGAAATGATTATATTGAAGTAAATTTGAATATTTAATTACGCACGTTGGCAACCCTATGGTGGTGACGTGAATATCAACCAGCTACAAGGTATCACGTGTAGCATTTTATTGTTATTAAACACGCGAAGTGAGTGGAACATTTTGACTGGCACACATCAGACGGCTTGGCTGGGGTGCCCGGTACCCAGATTCCATTGTTTTTATGCTCGAGGGCGAAACGTGAACAGATAACCGGCACGCGACATACTATTGTTTAAATGTCTCTAAAACAAACAATTAACCAAGATTGCTTGTTTTAATAAAGCCCCATTTTTTGAGCCCATTTTAATAGCCTCTAAATTACTGTTATTGTTCTTTGCTGCTCTTTTATAACCCCAAAATCTATGAGCGGATTATGTTCACATAAAAAGTATTAATGGTAAAATAGTGCTTGGTTTAACCAATAGTTTGGAAGTTTTAACGATAAAACTAAGTATCAAATAAAGTGAGGCGATAATAGTCGTAGGTGTAAAGGTCGCGTTTAAGTTATTATTCGAGAAGTTTTATTAACTTTGCAATATGATCATAGTCTACACTTTATTTAATGACATCTACGAAATTCTATTTTCACATCTAAAGCAGTATTTCTTTACGTATTGTTCAAATATTTTCTGACCTTTAGTAATTGAAAATGTCAGTCTTTTTTAATGTTTTATCTAGAATACTACATGTTATATCAAAATGAGTCATTATAATATATAATGCGTGTGTAAATAAATTATTTGTTAATGAAGGTATGTATACAGGAAAGTTATTACAGCCTACCATTGGCCTTGCTTTCCATCCTGGTCTTATGATAAGGTTCTAAAAAGGGTTAAACCTTTAATTAAGTCCGCTGGAAAGAACGCTATTGTTGAACCTTCAAAATATTTGTGACGTATTGATTAAATCCTGATATTAATAACCAACTGCCTCGTTGGCCGAGTGGTCGTAAGTGCGACTGCCGGGCAAGGGGTCTCGGGTTCGATTCCCGGGTCGGGCAAAGTATTACTGGGTTTTTAAAAATTCTCAGTAGTAGCACGGAGTCTGGAAATGTGCCCGGTATATGGCAATAGGCTCACCCCCTATTACACGGGACTCATAACATAAATAGTGAAAAGTGGGTGTTACATTGTACAGTGGTATAATGTGCACCTCTGCCTACCCCTTCGGGGATAAAAGGCGTGATGTTATGTTATGTATTAATAACCAACTTCAGTTCAATGATTTTTGATTTACAAGAACTCTGAAAGAATCATATACGTATCTAACTAATAAACGTTTGACGTATTGTTTTACAGCATTTCTACTTACCCGTACCCTACTGCTTCAGACATACGTGATGTAATATTTTACTTTTTATTAGGCTTGTTCACTGTGCAGTAAACAAGCCACTATAGAGTCACGTAGGTACTCTCAAACTAGACTTTTGTCCTTTGTACGGAAAATCGTGGGCTGCATTCCGTTTAAATGCCAAATATAATTTAATAGCAGTTGGACGGTTGCAGGCCGGAGACGTGTGTCCTTCGTGGCGAATAGAATGGAAACTTATGACGTAAAATATCTGAGAACATTTTGAGATAGTTCAACTTCTGATGTTGTATTACAGAGTACCTTTATGACTAGCATTATCAAAGGTGGAAGCAATCCTTTTGTGCTACGAAAAGCCCGTTGTCAGATAACTAATGGGCACTGCCATGTCCAATTGTGCAACATAGACAATGCCCTAACTACGTCAATAGACCCGCTCCACAATACTGCATGCATCCAATAAACGACGCGACGCACAGACATGTGCACGTGTACTTGACTTCGCTTTGAATTAAAATGTAGGAGATTTTATCTCTCCAGCCCATTCTCACGATGCTCACTGAGGCGTGGTTTTATGTCATTACTTACTGGTGCTCGTGTGATTTTGTCAACGTTTACACGTTTTCAACTCACTCTACCGTCACATCTTTGCTCTAGTTTTATATGAATATTTTACAGACTACTTTTATTCCTACTATACTTGTTTTATTTCGTTCTTTAAAATTATGTGACAAAACGAGTGATGAATTTGAATGTGGAGCAAAGAAAAGATGGTCTGTTTATGTGATTTGGTAGAATATAATGGAAGACCTCTTGGTAATTTGGGATAAAAGAACAGAAAGAAGGTTTTTTCAATCAGCACTATATAGTCCACCACTTCACACATGTGTACTTAATTAAATTAGATAGACATCGTTTTGGTGTAACCAGTGCAAATATTATAAATCAATTAACCCACGGTATGCCGGGACGCAGATCTACGCGAAACACAATGTGATTTCTATTGTGTCTCATATACCTGCATACAAGAGGTTAACAATTGGTTAAATTACACAATTTACTCCCTAGTATATTATAACCTCTATAAAATACACCAGATTTCCCCCGACATCATTAGTAAATAATTTAGTCGTGTTTTCCCACAAATTAAACTTTATCATGTCCTTGATAGTGCTGTCAACCGTGACGCAAGTACTGGCTACTGATTTAGTACTGTTGTCGACTTGCGGTTGGTATAACATGACGGTACTTGCTGATGCATAGGCGCTTATAGTTGTATACTTGTGTTCAGTAGGCGATTCATCATGTCGACAGCGCCACTTACATAATTCCAGTAACAACGAAGAAGCTTCACTCTTTGCCTTCCAGGTTTCATTAAACTAATTCGTGGTGTCGTTAGTAGGTTAGGTATATGGACATAATCATTTTGACTACTGAATACTGAGTAAAACTTGTATTAAGGTACCATTTACCATACTATAAAGTCAACTACGGATAAAAAATGTTGTATCAATCTTTATTTTAATTGTTTCTGTCAATTCTCACCAAAATCACTCTTTACCTACAGCGGAGCCGCCACCACTAGTGAACGTGACCGTCCACGCGTCCACCATTCTGGCGCTGATACTCTGGAATGTAGCTGGTGATGGTGGCCACCCCATCATAGACTTCACCGCACAATACCGATCGGCAGCACCTGTTAATGGGACTCTAGAGCCCTGGAGGCCTATCAGCCCTAACCACATCAGTCCGAATTCGGTAAAGTACAATTTATTTAATTTGAATTGAAGGCATAAGGAACTTGTAAATCGTGTTATGGTCTACTATGACTAGCTTAACTAATACACATCATAGCTTGCAGCTAGGCAAGTTAGTTTCCAAACGTTAACTAAATATTCAAGAAATTAATATAGTTTTTCTGTATACACAATTTCAGCGCCAAGTAGACGTGTATCACTTAGATACCAACGCGTCTTATTGGTTCAGAGTGTGGGCAACTAATGCTTTGGGGCCCGGTCCACCGGTGGAGGTGCTGGCCACCACACTCTACAGCGACCAGGAGGCTGGTGAGTGATTACGTTTATATGTACTTGAAGTGGCGCCCACGTGGGACTCCACATGTACCATTTGTATGCGAATATACTGGTTCAATATAGGCTACCAATACTCTGAAAAGCGGCCCATCGGTTGAGGACACCACATTATAGTGAGTCAGACGTAAGTGAGTTTTTAATTTTAGTTGAAAATATTGGCACCCAACATGGGACTAATCTAAAATGTATTAATATTATTGGCGCCCACTTGGGACTAAAGCAAATAGTTTTTATTAAATCTCAAAACTATGCGTATTACGATTATTTGTGAATGACCTTATTCTAATCGTATGATACGAACAACATTACAGAGCTATACAAGCACTTCTTCTCTGGCGCGGAGCAGTTCGACACACGGACGTGGGTGGCGGCGGTGTGCGTGGTGATGGGCACGCTAGTGGTGCTGGCGGCCGGCACGTGCGCCGTGCTCTGCCGCGAGTGGCGCCGACACGGTGAGCCCGCGCCCTAGCGCACGCATCTCCCGCGCCTCTACTTCTTGTGGCGCTGACATAGCGACACTAGCGCTCAAACTCAACCCATTCCATTGATTAAATTATTAGGGTATCAATGTTAAGGATGGTTGTTTCTTCGAAAAAACATTTCAATCTGGTGTTATCCTCCAAGATCATAACGTAGCCCAAAATTTAGAAATCTGAAGTACCTACCAGTGCTGGTCACACTCAAACACATCTATTCTAACGGTCACTGGTTATCCGGCAAAAATCAATGACCGTTGGAGTTTAAACATCTTTTAACCAATCACCCATTTAAGATTTTGTTTAAGTTTTTATGATTAAGAGTATAAAAGGCCGAATTGTTAAGTTTTGGGCTAAGAATAATGATAACTTCTATTTCTGATGAAGTTTTTCGAAGAAACACCCTTATAAAGTAATCGTTCGCAAGCATATTGCACAATGATCGTTCGAGTTGACCGTGACGCAAGCGTTCCATTCGATCGATATACGCCTTTAGCAATAATTGAAGAAGTTAATTACTAGTGATAGACTTTATGGTTTAAGCTTGAAACGTATCAGTATGATGAACAATAATTACCTATGTTAAATATATTCTATCCTTCGGTAAGATGATCCTTAGGATGTAGGGAAACGATAGACGTCGGGACGTAGAAGTATGCTCAGTGACTATTTAATTATTATAATATATAAGGTCTAAGATCTAGGTTGAACTTCTGTTGAACATTAATTTGTTTTTGTTTTCGTTATGTATATTCTATTTTGAATTTATAGTGAAATATTTATATTAAAATACAATTTAGCCATTCATTATTACTCTAAAACTTATAAGCACAATTTACAATTATCTACGCACAGCTTAAATTCTCAAATTATAAAATTATATTATAAAAAATATTAGTAACTACAAACAATTGTTTATATGCATTAAATATATATAGTGCCAAGTTTTTAATATATAAATAAATAAATAATAAACAAAAAATCTTCCAAATTATAACTTACAAAATATATAATTAAAAAAGTAGTATAGATTTTTATAAAATAATAATAAAACGAATGGTACAAAAATAAATTTTTGAAATGTTCACTAGAGTTTCTACGCTACGCGATTGGTGCTATGCAAATAATAATAAATTTTATTATTAATAATAATAATAACTATTATACCAAAAAAAGAAAATTGATTGAATCTCGCTTTATAGAGTTACCTAGTGCTGTATATTGCTTAGGTTTTGCTAGATAGGGTAAATTAGGTAGGATAAGTGGAGTCTCAGTCGGTATGTTGTTTGTAATGAATTTAAAAGCTTACAAATTAGTATTGATTGACAGACTGCTTCTGTAGTCAGAGGCCTTAGTACGAGTCTCTTTTTCGTTTAAAGTTATCGAAACGACACGGCGTTCTGTGCTCTGATTGGTTAGTTCATTGGTGCCGGCCAATCAGAGCGCCGAACACTCGTAACGATTACTTTAAACGAAAAAGAGACTCGTACTAAGGCCTCTGATCAAGTCAACGAGCACTAAGTTTTGTGTTCAATTTCTATTAATGAAAATAAAGATGGCTACAAATTTAAATACTTCAATGCGTGCAATATACCGACAGACTCACAAAAACATTAGTATACGGACCAATGATAACTACAGGACGTCAATTATAACAATAGATCTGTGCTATACATAGTTGACATACAATTTCTAACAATATATACTGACTTTCAGCGATTCTCTCTATAATCTATTGTCTATATACGGCTGTGTTTACATCACAACAATTTATGAGCTATATAAATGCTTATAAAATATTATATATGACATTAAAAACTTATATATACCGCTAAAATATTACATTTCTCATTAAAATATATAGCAATAATTAAATTCGAGTATTTGAAACTTATTTACCTTGTGATAATTTTAATTATAAATTAATATTTAAATTCGCGCTCTCAAAAAATGAATAACAAAAAAAGGATTTGCTATTGTTCGGTATTAGGTATTTAAGTCAGAAAATATAATAATTAAAGTAAGTACATTATATTTTAGTATGAGAATTGAATAGTTGTAGGTGTAATGAAGCTTTACCGCTAAGTAGACAATTCAATCTTGCCAAAACATTTATTTATCCACGTAGTATATTATTTGTGATTTTTACACGTTTGTGATAAAAGTATATTCCAAAAGTACCAATAATTTTCTTGTGATATTCTAGTAAACATTGGATATTCTCTTCTTTTTTTTTAACACACATCTTTTCCATCTTTAATGAATAAATAAATATTTTAAATATAATATGATCTTGCCTTTATTAAATTAATATGGTAATTAAAATAATTAATATATTAACCTGATCGCAACAAATATAATAATACCTATGATAAACTTGCACTAGATATCTTGTGATGACTTCTGGACCACTATTACTGTACTATAGGACCACTTTTAGTATTCTATAAGAACACTATTTTATATCTATTGCTTATAAGTACAATTATAAATTATATACACAAATATAAACGCGGTAGCTCGCTTAGGTAGGGCTTAAATAGATTCATAATACATTAATAATGCAATAAAATTATTATTAATAATGATATGTTCGCATTAAATGCACAATACTAGTGATAAAGTTAGCACAATAAATAAATTAAGTGACAGAATAACATGAATCCCATAAAATTATTTTATTATTCAGAAGATAATATTTTCTTTTACGTTTCATATATTATGGTTTTGAAAAAGAATGACATGAGTTGTTATGTTCTTATAACATTTGGCATAATTCCTTGATGTTATGAGTAGAGGCCAATTTTTACCAACTTCAAAAAAGGTGGTGATACTCTTTTCGGCTGATTGTTTTTTTTTATTGATTGATATAATATTTGCTTATTTGAAAACTTGGTGATAATATAGATTTCTCCTTGCGTATAATTCTGTCGAAAGTGAACACAAAAACTACCAGTGATACGTTATTTATAAAATGATTGGGTCATTTGTATCAAACACAGCAAGGAGTACCTATTACCCTACTTGGATAATAAACTTACAAAAAAAATGTCTGGTGATCTATGCTGAAGTGATACAAATGTGCCCCTTTACTAATATTACTTGTAAAACTTAAATAAACTGCCACTTTAGAGCTCTAATGCCGACTTTAAGATTTGCTTCTAACAATAGCAATTAGAATTTTGAAATTTTAGAAAGTTTTTCAAGAGTGGCTTGGCATAGCGCTCGAGTGCATTATATAGGGACGAATTTCATATTCTTCCGACGATATGAGCTAATTTCCAATGACCAGCTCATGCCGTGTTTTTGACCAATTGTATTTTTTTTAATTTAATATTTTACCATATGAAGTGACTTCTGAATGTGAAATTCGTCTGTAGGAGCAAAATATGTTGAGTACTACAATCTCTTCAATTTTGCTGTCATAACGTAGACATTAGAAAATCGCTCTTAAGTCTATGCTGATTACAGACGAATTCCGAGAGCGAGTTTCCATTCTTCGATCTATCCGCATGACTTTTGCATAATCTCTTAATAACGAAGAACGCCCGTATCTGCCAATTTTTTATTCATTCGAGATTTTTTTCTTCTTTCCCCTCTATCGCACTCGCTTGGAACGCACGCTTGGACTGCGGGGCCGCACACTAACAAAACACACACACACTCGGTGACGGTATGTATTACTAACTAACCCTCCACCTCTCCTGTCCCGACTGCTCCTTTCTTCACCCCAAAGACTACGTCGAAGATCAAGACGTAATGGAACTAGTGCCTAACATAATCCTGAACCCTGGTTTCATGGAGATGGACCCCATCAGGCCGCGGGAGCCCCTTGCCTCCTCCATCATCAAGTCGACGGAGTGTCCTGGCCCTGGGAAACCGAGGCGTGTTTGATTCTCGTCAATACTTAACCTTAGGATATTCTATCGCACCGATTCCGGCCTATTGTCATGATCGTGGGCGACACACGACAGAACTGTGGTGGTTGATAAAAGCGTTAATGTTTGGACTATAACCAACCAAGAATTGGGCTCAGTGGCCTGAATTATTTGCTGCTGCATACACCATTGTCAAAGGTTAAACATAAAGAGATATTCTTTTAACCTTTGAGAACATGGAAACTAATTGCTTTGGCTCGTTCGTCAATTTCATTGAACCGCTTAGAAACGCTTTTATTTCCATCACGGAGTCTGTGCCAAAATGTGTATTTTGGATGGAGAGGAGTACGTTTTTAAATATCAGTATATGACATTAATATGCCTTGCCTGATGCCTTTAATTTGTGGCTATTGGTTAATCGTGTGAGAGATACAAAAATCGATTGTATAGCGCCAATATTACTTTCATCTGACGATATTTGAAAACGGCTCACAAACGCTAGGGTAAAGATGGACATATCAAAGCATGTTTCGTTTAATTAGCCGATCGGAGCGATAGGGTAGCCGGGTTAAATAGGGCACTCGAGTTTCTCAAAAGTGATGAACAAACATCTCTCCTGTATAATGTCCGTAGGCGCTAATGTATATTTATAAATCTGCATGTCAATTATAAATATAAAAATGCTCATTAAAATTATTAAATTACGTCTGACAAACGTCACCAATGACAGCTGTCAACGAGAAAAGATAATTCATTAGATTGTTCGTTTAAAATGTTTGTGAAATATTGTATTTTACGATAAGCTTGTCATACTTTTGAGAAACAGTGTTGCCACTAAAGCAAATAAAATGCTTGTAACTAATCACTGAGAGAGATCATTTCTAGTTTTGTAAGCGTTTCGTGTTTAACCGTAGTGGTGGTTGCCATATACAAATAAGAATAACGTAGTGTTCGCTATGATATTGTACACGTTTGTTTCTAAGAACTGATGCTTGCATTTACTTTTTATACATTTACACGTATTCGCCGTAAGTCTGACACGGACGCTTTATTTTATAATTGTAGCTTATAGGGGCGGTAACATGTAGTTGCTTGGTCTGGTTTGATCTCTCGAAATAGCAGGAGAATGTGATGGAAAATTGTTTTATTAAAACGTTAAAAGAAATTACTATACCGAAACAATCCTTGTACTTTGTACCTACAACCTGACCAAGCAGTAATATTTTGTACGGCACTAGCTACGTGTTACCATTCCTATAAAATAGTCTCCATTCTGGCAACCCCAAAATCTGTTTGAAAACTTTTTTAGGAAACATATTGCTTAACGTTCAATATTGTTAATGTTGCTAGCTATAGTGATAGAATATTTTTAATTATATATATATTTTGCTATATTTTAGATGATATTTTTATAACGAGGATCTCATGTATTTAAGACACTTAACATTTTAATATTGAAATGTCGGTTTATTTTCTATTTATTTGTGATTTTGAACGCTGTGATTATTGTGTTTTCCGTAAATTGAGTTTTTTTTGTAATGTAAGCTAAGGGATAAGTGTAAATATTTTGATATATATATCGTACGGAGACTGGTGCAATGGTATTGAATAATATAGTTAGTATTTATGTAGTGGCGTAATATAAGCTTACTTGTGGGAGCGCCCAGTGTAGCGTAGCTAAGGTACACTGCTTTGTTGAAAGTTTTAATAAATGACAATATAGTAGTGGTTGTATTACCCGTGTTATGTCCTGCGACACTTGAAGGCAATGATGCGAAAGACTGGGCCAGCTTTGTAAGCACCATCGGTATTCTTCAAGTATTCTTAAAAACATTTTTAGCCATCTGACAGCTGTCAACTGTGACAGCTATCTCGAAAATTAAAAAAATATTTGTTTGTCTGTGGAAACGTTCATTCATAAAAATATAAAAGTAAAGCTATAGGTAGTAGTCCCAATAATGCTTACAAAGGCTGGTTCACAGAATTGTCGTGATATGTTCGTGACGTTACGACAGATATAAACTAAAAGTTGATGTTATAACATTGTTGTGTAAGTGTAAAGCTGTTTATTTTTGTATACGGCCTGTATACATATCAGGGGAGCCTTAGGATGTACAGAGATATACATAGATATTTATTAAAATAACAAATTTTAAACTTCCTTCCGATCTTTGTGCTTGCACGCTTAGTTAAAACCGTTTTAAAATATCACTTAAATAAGGAAAATCTGGCCGTTGTTTATATTACAAGATCAATTTAAGACTATATTACCTTAAGTTATTATTGTGTAACTGTTTTATATTTTTTTTTATATATAATTAGATATTATATAATAGAATTTCAAGATTATATATTGTAGTATATATTCGTTCCTAAGCGTGCAAGTAAGTAAGTTTCCCTTCTTCTTAGCTCATTGCCTTTCTGTGCTCTCACTACCTTTCTTGTCTATTCTTGCACTCTACTATAAAATAATTATATATTTGCCAATATTAAAAGTCTATATCGAAACAATTGTGTGATGAATAGGATTTGGAAACTATAATGCTATCGATGGATTAGTTGAATTGAAAGAAACTAGAAAAGCATTTATTTTGTTTCGGTTTAAAGAAAATGTCTTTTATCGTTAGGTTAGGTTACCTTACCTTACCTTAAAATATCAATAAAATAAAACTCCACCAAGGCTTACAGGGATAAGAATCCAAATTGGCCATTCAAATCCTATTCTTCATGCTGTAACGGGTATTCCTACGAAGTTGTGGTTGCTTCAGAAGAACTAGTTTATAAGTGGTTAGAACTCCGCACGTATTGTATGAAGTTGCGTTTTCAGGTGCTTTTTAAAAATAGTAGCAAAATGTTTTGTTTTTCAGTATTTTTCAGACAATTCTTATTATGGAAATATAAAGTTTACAATAATGAATAAAACCAAGTACGCTAAACTTTTTACCCATTTAAGTAGAACAACAGGGTAACCTAACTCTATGCGGGTTATGTTAATAATTTGAACTTATGACAACCAAGCTCATAATGCTCACTAGCGCCATCTCGTGATCGCAAATTTTGAAAACTCCAACTTTTACAAATACTGGTATATTGGTCATTCTCACATACGTACGGGGTTCCAACAGACGATTGTGTCCGTCATACGTATCAATGTGCTATCTATGTCAATTATGTGACTGTCTGTCTGTCTGTTGTGTCGTATTGCGTTCCTGTCTGCACGCCTTCACGCCTTGCATCTAAACGAGATTGTGCTTGTATAACAGTTATGACTTATGAGCCATATTTTTACTGTGTTCAAGTTTCATCAAAAATTGTCAAACAATTTAAACATATTTAACTACTATTTGCTATAAAAAGATCCATTTCGCCGGGTGTAATACAAGCACAAGTTCGAGTGTCGCAAGTACGCGCACTACTCCATGCTCTTCCTTTCAAATTATATTTATTAACAAATGATTGATATTTTTGTAACAAATACTGTATTCAATTATTTACAACATAGCCTTGTGTTGTGAACTTGTGAGGACTAATCGCAAACTATAAGAAATAAATATTTATCGTCAAGTAGTGGCAATCCTAGAACCTATGAACCGTCCGCGTATAATAGAGGGCGCACATTACAGACTAATCGCAATTTTAACTTTAAACCTCCTGCAAAATCTTGCGACTATCTTCTCCCTTGTCTCGTAATGCGTAGCTCTCGTTAAAATCTAAATGTGTTTTCTTCTTCTCTTTGAAATCTTAATGTATTCGCCAGGAGAATGACTCTCTAACGAGTTGATCGTGTTGCTACATAGTACGGCTTGTAGCAATATCTTGTAATTTTTAATGAAACCGGCTGTTTGTCAATTGTCGTTTTTGGGTTGATGGGAAACATTTAATTCTATTAGGCTAGATCAAAAGTAAATAATTATTTTATGTTGTTTTCTTTTCAATGATTTCTATCGCTTAATCATTTGTATTCATTTTCCATAATATTGGATTTCTATGTTCGTTATATAACTAAGTAATTCAAAAAAGAAATCCTCCATTTTATTTGGTTTATTGACTTTATATAAATGTTAATATACCATCAACTCAAGTCATCGGTGACAAACGACCTCGCCTAATGAATGCGTGTAGTCTAGTTATAATGGTTGTTAGACTAAGTGTTGTCCTAGACTAGATGTTGACCGCTAGCGTAGAGGGCGCGAACGACGGATTGAAGACTGCCAACCTACGGGAAAAGGTAACTTGAAAATACAGGCAAATGCATCAATATTCAGTTAAGTTGAAAAATAAAGTAAATGTGCTGATGAAATGTGATCTTAGGATGAAAGATATTGTGTGTAAATGGTTGTGACGACGGCTTGTGGTCTGTTTGTTGATGCAATTGTCTGATAGTGTGTGCGGTGTCTTGTATGTAGGTATGTTGAATGTTGCGCTTCTGATTTTTCATTTTTTGAAAAGTCGTGGTTTCGTCGTTTTTATACGGATAGGTTTTTCTAAAGCTGGTTTATTTGGGTTTGTGTGTAAATGGCTGGAAATTATTTCTAAATTAATGAATCGAAGAGCCACAAGCCACTGCCAAAAGCATGTGTTGATACTGCATCTTGTTTAGTCTGCGATGTTTTCTTGCATGCCACTTTGCATTGTGCCTACTTTAGTTATACACATGTTCGTTTGTACAAATTCTGTTTTTGCTCGCCCATTCTCGATCGAATGACAGGTTCCTAAATCGATCGCAAATGGTTATTGGTCACAAAAAAGCAATGCATGATTAGTAATAAATAAATGTCTGATCTATAAATGTGGATTTCATGTTATTCTGTCTGTTCAGTTCTGTGCACTTGTAGATTTAATTCTCGTACAAAAGACGTAATATATGTTATTATAGTGATATAGTGCTTATTGCGGATTCGTATTAATAATTATATGAATCTTCGAATTTATATGACAAGTGTTTGTTAAGCTAAGGATAGGTACAAATATAAAATTGAATATTTTCTGTATAAAGTGAGATTTGGCGTCCCTTGGGGCGCTTGTGTAGTATAAAGTCAACACCTAAAAAGCTTTTTAATTATAATCTCTTTCGACAGTGAACGCTTACCAGTTATATGCTAGTATTAGGGCCTAAGCAGACTTTATTCGTCACTGATCTAGTGAAAATAAAACTTCAGCACAATTTGTTTCAATTCTATTTCAGAAGCATATAAACAATGTCTAAAAACAGTTTGTCCATGTCCTTAGCTTGACATATACTTACTATCGGCATATATATCTCGATTTACTTTATATTAAAGTAATAATTACCTTAGGTTAAGATTGCCTTTTATAAAATTAAGCACGTCCAGACGGTGAGGGCAGCGAATCGTTTAGTTTTTCGCTAAATATTTAATTCATAAGTGATCGTGTCATAATAAATGAATATAAGCTGGATATTTTTACATTTTATTTTATTTTATCTGTAACAGATTATCTTTTGTTAATATTGTACATTTTTGTAAGTTATTATATATTTATATATATTTGTTTATATATCAGAGGTTAATTTTAATGAAGGATTATTTTTCTTTAAATTTTTTTGCAAAGACTTTATGTAATTCTTCTTGTATTTATTAATTGTGACAATGTGTTACCAAATATTGTTTGTCTATGCGCATTCCTATAATAAGTCTAGTTATTCTGTTTATTGTAATGTGATTATCCATAGATTTGCACACAAAGATAATTAATCAAATAATTAATTTCAAATATTCATGTTATGTAAGTCACACGTTATATTGTTTATTATATTATTAAAAGTATTCATTATTATAATAAAGCTACAGTGTTGCTTGCAGTAAAATGATATTATAATTATCACACATTTTTTGTGCTAAACTGTTTAAGTAAATAATTTTTATCATTTTGATATTACCTATATATATGTTACTGAAAATATTTTTTCTATTTTTTGTTCTAAAGTCACCAACAGGCACAGTTACTGCAAACTGTCAAATTAATTTGTGGGATTTTGTACATTATTACAAAGGCAAATTCAATATCGAATCAAGACAATTTCAAATATCTTGTTAGGCTGACTTCTGCATTTAAAAATGACAGTTGGTAATATTTAGACATTAATTTGATTGGATTGTAAACAACTAATTAGTTTTTTAAGGTTTGTATTTGAGCTTTGCTTACATCAAATCTCATGAAATTAAAATTAAGTAGATATTGTTTTTTTTTTTAATTATTTGTGAAACAAATGATTTGTTACTACTTAGTAAATATCATATTGATACACAAATTTCAGTGAATCTCATTGTAATCCAAAAAAATGTAAGTGCAATACATTTTGTTATATTATGTACTGATTGTCGTTTTTCTATTATATTTTATGATTGTGAACGGAGAAATAGTTGGCTTTGGCATATTTATTTAGCATAGTGGGCAAACGTCGGCCCATCAAATATATAAGAAAAATATATTACGGAGGCCCAATTCCCCTTCCCCAATCTATGAATCCCCAACGATCCTCAAACTCCTAATCCCCAAAAGGCATTTATTGTTACCGGTAACACACATACATCGCCTCTGGTGTTCCAGGTGTCCATGGGCGACGCCAATTGCTTACCAACAGGTGATCCGTCAGCTTGATTGATGGCTTATGTCGTAAAAAAAATTAAAATAAAATAATAAATGAGTTGGATTGAAACAAGTAATTTTGAAGTCATAAAGAAATAATGAATATAAATAAATCTGGCATAGGCTTATATACAGCAATGGCCTTTTTATGGGACAAGCCGGTAAACTAGCAGACGGATTACCTGATAGTCAGCAATTGGTGCCACCCAAGGACACCGGTTTAGGGGACTAAGAATTTGAGGATTGTTTGGAGTTCATGGATTGAGGAGATTTGATTGAGGGGGGGAGGGGAAATAATTGGGTCTCCGGTGACGATGTTCGTACGTAACCTTACCTCAGCCTCACCCCAATAGGAGACTCATCAAATGAGTGATAAAAAATGCACCTTTCATTGTAATTATACCGCGATCTTTCCTTTAAGATATCCAACTAAATGGTATATGATCATAGAAATACATACAAAATTGTCGTCATGTCTATCTGCCATCAAGGTAGGCAGACCTTAGAACGTTAAACGCTTATTGTTCTGGCAAACTATTGGTGAAACGAACAAATTAAACAATTTTATGACGATGTTTAACAATTAGGGAACAAGTGAGTTTTTCTCCTTATAAGTCTGTGCCTTCTCCTTCAGAGAATAGAAGACACAATCTTACATTATATATAAATACAAAGTCAACTATTTAACTGTTATGAAAAAAAGTATTATTTAATAATTGTTTTCGTTGAGTTCATGCGAAATGTGATGCCCGTCGTAGAACATAATGATAAGTACATTGTTGTAGCTAATGTTGGAGGCCATTCCCATTAAAACTACATTTTACACAAATATACTCGTTTTATTTACTCTGAAATCGTTAGTACATAAATAAACCTTTTAGTGTTAAGGACTGCCTACACAATTTTAATTCTACAAATATTATTATCGTTAGTAAAATACTGAAATTGTGTTTAATGCGATTACCAAGAAAGCAGTAGTGTTGTCTAGTTCACTCCAAATTGAGAAATCTAAAAAATCCATTAGATACAGAATATTAGGGGGCTTACTCTTGAATCCAATTCCGATCGATCGACATTGATATTGTGAAATTTCGTACTCTTGACTTGCAACACCAGCGCACGTTGCGTGGATATTTAATGAACTAAATGGAATTGAGTTTAGCTGTATATTCCGTACCCTGAATGCTGTTTTAACAGCTATGATTGTGGTTGTATAGTGTGGACATTGAATAATTATTGAGTTTTTATTGGATTGAAATTGCATTGACATTGAGATTGGTTTCAAGAGTAACCACCCAGGTTTCAATTTGTACTCAATGGAGTCGCCCCCTGTAATGGAAATACTACTATGTTTGATGCGTGGTTCATCTTTACCCACACCCGTATGTTTATTGATTAATTGTGATTTTAAAACCCTAATTACGTAACTAGGTATTTGCTAACTTTAAATATTACTGGTACACCTATACTTATCTAATTACCTACATGTCAACATTCTACAACCTAGTTACGGGTAAATATATAAAAATATTCATTTAAAACAAATTAGTCTGGTGCAAATTAGAATAAAATGTGCATTGTCAATAAAATTAGTTAACAATTTGATGAACTACAGGTTCGATAACATCGGGTGTCATTTCCGTCTTCATGGACGACGCTTAATCCTGGCCAGGTCCGCTTCCAGGGCCTGCTGACAGAAACAAGCATGACCACAAATAGGTAGACTAATATTTTACTAATCTATTCACAAACTAACTACCTATGTCAACCTTAATTTTGTAAGACAGGTGAAAACTTGAGTCGGTAAGGTATATCTACTTTGTACTCACAGTTCTTTAGATGAGCAGACAGGATTTTAAAACAAACATCGACACTGATTATTTGAGACATCGACAGCTGTGAAAATGCATTGGTACTTACTTCTCGTCGTAGAGAGCTCACATATCTTCATTGCAAAGTTCATTGTAAAGTACCTACCTAGGTACTAGTTGTTGAAAACTGAAGTGTACTCAGTCAGCCTAGGAAATAAGCATGTAGGTACGTACGAAGCTGTGGTCAAAATCTACTGTAACGAAAACGAACACAAACTTTTAAGTCCAAGACCTTCATATCTAGGCGATGTATAGCCTCCTGCAGCTCGTACAGGCCGGGGTCGTCGGGTGCGAACGGGTAGCAGTCGTCAAACTGTGTCTTCATGCGACGCCACCAAGCCTCGTTGTACAGCCGCCGGTTCTCCGCCAGCTCTGTGGCGTACGCCAATTCATTGTTCAGGAGTAAATCCTCATCAGAGTCCAGTGAGATGAAACTGAGAACATTAAGAAACAGTCAATGATACAAACGATAGTGTCGTAAGTACCTTGTTTGTTCTAGTATAGGTATCAGAACAAACTACTCTGTAGGCAAAGTGAAGCATCCGTTATAAGAATGGTCAATTTGTTACATGATAAATTGAAAATTAATTAGTAAACATTATCTCAAGGACTTATGGGAGCAAGAGATGTAAGATTACAATGCGTCCAGAGGCCTTAATAAGAGATCTTATTAAGGAAATCAGTGTTAATAGATATTAACACTGATTTCCATGGATCTCGCTGGAGCGCCTGGAGCCTTATAGCCTTACCACAGTAAACCAAGGCATCGCCTGCCTTTACTTGGCTTTGATTATTCCATACCTGTTTAAAGAAGACAGGTAATATGGCGGAAAGGCATCCATTGCACGACGCAGGTGCTCCCAGGTGTCTGCATAGCGGTAGTCCCTGTACTACAGACAACCAAAATTATTAGGTAACTAAAAATACATATATTAGATAAAAAAATATCTTATAATATTTGGAAATCCATTTTTCTGATGGCTGGCACGCAAGCAAAACAAAATTGGTGTTACGTGAAATTAACATGACTATTTATTGATTGATATTATGCACTATACACACCATATACCGTTTATTCTGCGAATCAATGAAGGCTCAAGGGCAAAAATTAATGGTTTAGGTTAATAAGTAGACATCTATATACTTTTTATACTTCCCAAAAAAAAGTACTTTCACTTATGACATTTTTTAATGTTGAGGTGTTTATGGTTCCAGAAAAGTTCGAGTAAGTGCCTCCTCTATTGCAAAAAAATGTTAGGTACTAACCCTTTTATAAAATCCGTAATCAATTTCAGAGTCCGTCATAGCTCTCGACAGCGGAATACTGGAAGCTGTGCTTAATGTACGTCTGTCAAATGCTCTGATGCTGTCCGTGAGGATACTGTCACTCCTTGGGGACAGGGAGTCATAAGGATCAGGACACACGTACGGAGTCAGCGTTATGTCAGGAATGTCCAAATCCTCCACGTAATCTGAACGATTTTTGGGTATAGAGTTCAATAGTGTTTGAAACATATTCATTTTGATGGCGTATGAAGGTAAAGGTGACTCTAATAATGATTTTTGGGTGATCTTCTATGTTATTAAGTTAGTTACTCACGCCAGTATCTGGGATAGCGATATCTATAGCGGTAGCGATACATTTGGTTAAGTTAACAACGCGTCTCAACTCACGTATACAAGGTATGACCCGGTTAGAAAGCCTTGCGAAGCTCAAGTTTGGTCGATACTACGTGATGGTTGCCATGCAACTGGCGGAAGTATCATCACATACTCACGTCTGCAAAAATTCGGCGACATGGAGACGTGCGGTTGGACAGATTTGCGAATTTTTCCTTTATAGTATTCCTTGTCTTTTTGACGAATTTCTTACATAAGTGTCTATCTACTAAGTATAGGTGGACGATTGTATCACTTTTTAAGTATTCCGCTAGCTTTCGGCAGCAACCGTTTAGAAGTCTGTTTGCAACAATTTCTCTAGTTTTGGAATGTTGTTTAACTTTAAATAAGTTCCAGCAAATGGGCTGCCATTTTAATGTTACCACTTTGTTTAAGACTTGCCTTTGGAAAAGCCTCCTAACAATTTACCAGCTCTAACTGTACTCCAATCTGAAACTACAACTCATAATATAGTTGTATACTCTGGTAACTTTGTAGATAATGCATCGCGTTACATGAACTCCATTGTCTTCGTGTCCGGAACAGTTATGTAAGATGGAGGTAAATCGACCGCCGGCCAGTTAATGGTGTCTAATTGATTGCCTGTGGCTCTTGTGACTGAAGTTTAGTTTCTTGTTTGTGATCGTTTCTGTATACACGAAATCTTTGAGTGGTCATTAACGTACCTATCTAAACCTACAGAAACGTCTTGACGATTTTGGAAGCGCAGATCACTAAAAATATTGCTGGTTCAAGTTTTGCTACAGTTCTATGCGGTTACGCCTCACATTGGCTTATAAATTATTTTAATATTACCTAAAACTAATTCATGTTTATAATCCGACAACAAAGCGAAGTTACAACTAAGTGTTATTTATTGTATGTATTAAACACAATAGTTAGGTACTTAAATCATAAAACTACATACAAAACAAATATTTATGTAGGTACAACATTTCGAAATCCAATGACTGTGGTTAGAACAATACAAGGACATGTTTACATTTATTGACCGATTTGATAGTGGCTCAGACAATGATAGGTTAATACAATTCATTACAACCAATCATATCTGTTTACAACTAGTGATATCTGTTGAGTCAACTAGTATTAAGTAGCTAACTTAATTGAAAACGAAGAAAAATAAACAAAATTTCTGACAACTCCCTGTGTGATAGAATTTAAAGAAAATATTTTGGGTGGCTTTTTAATTCAATTTCAGCTGATATCTATTATCTACTAAGGGTCGTCAAAACTACTAGGTACCTACGACGATAACACAATATTCTATTGTCTATTTACTAGTTTCTGTACGTTGGTTGGGATTCCCGCTTTTATGTTTTTATGTTTATATCTCAGAATTTTCCTAATTTACATTATCTTCCCTTGAAATTTGATTATTTTCTGCGTAATCGTAATCAAAATAACGCTGCGAGATAAAATTATTCGATTTTTCTTATGTATAAAACTATTATTTTTATATGAAATATGAAATTAAATAAATGAGTAGGTAAGCGGAATTGTAAATCGTAATCAGGTAACTACCGACTTAAATTCCTTGCAGCCTTTCGTGAAAAGCGAATATACAGGTTGCTTCATAATATGATCACCCATTCTGTGTGTTGTTGTTATTGGTGACAACTGACAATTGACAATTCTCATTTAAATATCAAAAATACAATGAATTCATTTACAGATAGAAAGACGATACTTTACTTAATTTATGTATCGTTTATTTTATTCTTAAAATTTTTGAGATCATTTGAACCAGTCTTCAATTTCATTAGTATGAGTGATGTATTCATTACACCTATCACCAATATCAGGGACACGGTATGAAGCGTCGCTGTCGGTCGGAAGTGTTTACGTTGGATGAATGGCAATCTGCCCATCTCTCCGTGAGAGACGCGTGACGGCACAAGACACAAGACAAGCGCCCTGTTCGCCTGATCGCCCTTGCACTTGAATGTCGTCCCCGCAGCACATGCAAGGCGTAGAGACAACACGATATCGCTTGTCTCACCCGACTCGTTCCGTAGGTACAATCAGCTGTGGCGAGCGCGCGCTGCCCGACTCGATTCCGTCTCTCAGTCATGCTTCGATAGCGAACACAGATGGATGTGACAAACGGGTCGCCGTCGCTGCGACTTCGCGGTGGCGTGAATAACAGTAGTGATAGTAAGAAACATGAGTTGAATTTGTGCCCGAGTGTGATGTCGCCGGAGACTCAGCGGCTGCTGCCGCCGACTACGGAGACCATCATGACGAAGCCGTTCCCTATTCGAGGTAACTATAACCGCTACTCTAGAATAATAGTTCTGTCCGACTAAAAATACGCCGGACGCGCGAATTTGTGACAGCTGCACGCTCACTGTTCGCGTCGCTCCTTCTCCCGGACGCTCAACTGCCGCTAATTTGCAATGTCCTAGCTTCGGAACTGGACTATCATGCTTTATTTCCTCTGGCTGTAGTAGTGTATCGATCATAAACAGCTTAACAGTCGTTTAGGTAGCGGTTTTGTATTTATAACTGCGATATAATAACGAGCGCGAGATAATAATGATAGTCGGGACACTTGTGCCGTGTGCGCTACGAAACATTGCTTGGGAAATTCCTACTTTAACACAGAAATGTCGTAAAATTTGATAATTAGATTATGATGTCTGGTTTATTTTAGTACAATTGTCAAGGTTTATTTGTGGCTCAATCAAAAATAATGTTTTCGTCGAGTCTATGTCTTATAAATTAACAACATCCTGTATTCCCAAGTCAAGTCATAACAACGATTAGAATAAAAGTAGAAACTTCGATTTGACCATTTATAAAGGTAGTAAGATAAACAACAATTTTAATCCTGAAATTTTGAAATGGACATTATACCTTTTAAAACAAAAAAAATCAGAGCTATATTATAATTTTTATCGCACATAGCTCATTATTAAAATATTTCATAGTTAATAGTACCTTTATGTTAAATGTACCTTTATGTTAAATGAGTCAAATGCTACGTTTTATTGCACTTACATTATAAACATGTTATAAGTCCACTTAATCTTACATTATAAGGCAAAGGCACGTTTCTTTGCAAATAGGTAGGTAGAGTGGGTGCTACTAGACTAGACATTGTTTATATTTTTATTCAAAAGACTCGATTTCTTATCTCACAAGTTGTCACTGATAACTTTGTCAAAACGTTCTCTCCAATTTCCTGATTTCTTTTCATTCAAAAAATATCAAATATTGGTAACGTTGCTTAGCTGGATGATTCTACAAACAAAAAAAAAAAAAATTTACGGCGTCATTATCCTTAAGCCAAAGTTAATAATTCTGCTGATAAAAATACAAAGTTTAGTTTCAAAAAATTGAGCCATGTCACTGCTCTCACCCAATCCAATAAAATACAGATGCTAATAAGTTACTGCGATACTTTACAACGCGGGAGGATAATGATTTGTTAAATAAAAGACAAAGTTTTTTGAAGAAACACCCAGGTACTCTACTCAATTCATGTTATCATCAAATAATCCTTAACAGTTAAGGATAATCATTGTAACTTTTAAGACATGTCATTTATTTATTTTCGCACATATTAATTAAAACCTATTATACATATAAATTAAATCGTAACACATTGAAATAGACAGACTACCTATTAAATATACCAAGTGTACAGTAACTATCATATATTTTTAAGATAATAAATCATTGAATAAACGTCTAAGAATCTACAAATGACTAAAATACTTATTTCACTTAAAAATATATTGTTCACTAAAATAACCTTTGCAGATAAATGAATTATATTGAGTTGTTGGTCATTATGACCGACCGACCCTATGTGGAGGCGACCTTGCGTTTCGTTGACCCACAATATCTAGACGACAGTTTTAGTCATGTGACTGAATGATCGCTCATTCGATTAATAATAACGTACTTTGCAAACCGGTTCCACATATCAATAATACGTTTACAATATAACCTCACAACTTTACAGAAATACATGCATAAATAATTTTTATTTTGAATATAAATCACGCAGGTAAAAAAAACAATTCAGCGGTTTGAATATCGGGTTTAAAAGTGGGTTGGCATCATTGCTTTTCGATTAAACCCTCTTTTGTAATAATGATTAAAAAAAAACAGTTTGAAAATGGAACGTGATTGTCATTGGCCTTTTCTTCTTTTTTTGTCTAACAGGTGTCTTAAGAATTCACTTTACACATCACAATATGTATTGCAAATAATATGAAAGACCTTTTTTGGTTGGATGCACCATGCACGATCATTTATCTTGTAGTTCGAAAGGGATGCGAAAGATTAAAAAAAATCGCACTCTATAAGAAACATAAACGATTAGTTACATTGAAGGTGGTACCTACTTGCCACATTGTGGAGTCGTCATTTTGGTTGCCATCTTACGTATACTGTGCTTTCTGTATTCGATAGCTGCAAGAATAGGAAGTCTTAGGAGAGAAAAGAATAGTTAGGAGAAAAAACAGTTTAAGGTGATCAAGTTTTAACGATAAAATTATAACCCCAAATGAAAGTGATGTCTCCACATTTTGAAGGAAGTACCTACTATAGACGGTATTAATTTTAATAATCTTGGAATGAATACAAGAAACAATCAAAAAAGATTCCCCGAATCCCCGCGTAGGTAATCGATATGTTGTCATACATTGAACCCAAATGAAATCAATAATGTTGTTAATTATTTCAGTACCTAAGTACATTTTAGGTGAATTGATAATATCTTCAAATAAGCGAAAACTCGATAGGTGTTGTGATAATTTACCAGTTATAAATAAATAGATACCGTATTTAAAAACTCATTTGCAAACATTAATTAGACTAGTACTTAATTCAAAACTGTAAATTCTATGTGCCTTTTCAATCATAGAAATAAATATTTAATAGCTAGATAGTCTGGTGCAGAAGTAATAATAATAAATACAGAGAGACATCAGTTTACGTATTTTCAATAACTTGTGCTCCACTGCTCACATCGATTTCTATTAAACACGTAGAAGTTTCTATTGCCCCATTTCGAGTACAACTTATAATCAACGGCAC